AATTCAACGAATCTTCAATCTGCTGTGCTCAAAGAAATACAAGCCTCGGTTGTGCAAATTGTTCTCGTAACCACCTTTTAGCCTTCCGATGACTGCACTGCACCATCACCCAGGCCGTTATACCTACTTGATGCTCTAGATATGGCCTTCCCTCTCATGGTAAAAATATGAGGTATTGATTTATAAATCGTAAAAATTTAAGGAAAAGGAACTGGATAGGCCTCTTGAACCTGTTCTGTCATACGATAAGATTATGGCTGATCCAATTATGTCCTCAACGCCAACTTCCTGGCAGCCCCCTATAACCTTTGACTCCCTTGTACATTCAAACACCGTGTAACTCAGCCTTGAGTATATTCAATAACCCAACCTCCACTGCTTTCCAAGAAATAACAACTTACTGAGGGGAGAAATGGCTCCTTATCTCGGTCTTAAGTGGGAGACCCCTTGCTCTGAAACTGTGCTTCCCAGTTCTGGATTCCCCAATTGTTGGGGGGGTTGGTGGGGGCAGGTGGTGTAGGGTGGATATCCTCAGCACTCACCCTTCAAGACCCTGCAGTATCTTATATGTTTCAGTGTGGTCCTTCGAAACCCCAATGATCCCACAAGGATCTAGTAGTGCATTGGGAGAGACCTCTTTACCCGAAGGGTACTTAAAATGGTGAACTTGCTACCAAAGAGAGTGAATAACATAGATACTTTTAAGGTGAATTAGATCCACACATGACGGAGAAAAGTCAGGAAGGATATGTTCATAGGATGAGTTGAAGTAGGAGTCTTCTGTGCAGCATTAAAACCAGCATGGGCCTTTAGGGCTGAATGGCCTGTTTCTGTGCCATGGGTCTACATACGTGAATACAGTAATCATTTTCTTCACCTAAGAGATGCATACTGACTCAAAGCTTCCCTCAGTCCCCACGCGCCCCTGGGAAAGTGAATGTTCCACAGAAATGCTGGACAGGCACATATGACTGTGCTGCCTGCACTCTGGGCTGTGGGAAACACAACAACTATTGCTGTAACCTGAGCTTAATTGGCCCCAGTTGAGAAGTCAGCTCATCCTGCACATTTGAACTGAAGTACAATTTGCTGTGACCAATGTAATCACCAGTGTGCAGGATTCTTCACACAAAATCATTGGATCATTCCATCTTAATAAACTTGCAGATGCTTTCAATTTTTCTACATTAGATACTGAGATTAATATGAGAAAATCTTGCCGAGTGCTCCTGCTGTTTTAATTCTTAGCTTTTCTCTCTCTACCAGCCCCTGTCCCGTCTCTGCATTCTCTTGCACACATACGCATGCACAAACACAAACACAAACACACAGACACACACAGTCTCTCTCTCACACATAAACACATACACACACAGATGCACTCCCTCACACACACTCACACACAATCCCTCTCTCTCACACACACAAACTCTCTCTCTCTCTCTCCCCCACACACGCTCCCTCACACACACACCCTCACACTCTCACACATGCACACACACACGCACACAGACACACTCCCTCTCACACACAGACACATACTCTCACATGCAGACACACACACAAGGCTGATTTAGTCCTTCCACTGAGGTGTCCTAAAGGATATTTTTTCCCTGACAGAGACAATGAATCTGGAACCCAGCCCGACCATGTGTGTGGCTGTCTCTCTCTTTCCGTGTCTCCCATAGGGGGATTAAGGCTGCACCAGATTGTTCCCCTCAGGGGAGATTGAGGAAACTGGGTTTGTGCTCTCTACCGACTTTAGAAGAATAAGAGCTCATTTCATTGGGATGTGCAAATTCTTGTAGGGTCCCACTGGACAGGAAGGATTTTTTTTAGATAGGATCCCTACAGTGTGGAAATAGGCCCTTCGGCCCAACAAGTCCACACTGACCCTCAGAGCATCCCACTCAGACCTAGCCCCCTATAAACCCACCTAATCTACACATCCCTGAACACCAAGAGCAATTTAGCATGGCCAATCCACTTAGGTTGCACATCTTTGGACTGTGGGAGGAAACCCACGCAGATGCGGGGAAAATGTGCATGCTCCACACAGACAGTCGCCCGAGGGTGGAATTGAACCCGAGTCCCTGGCGCCGTGAGGCAGCAGTGCTAACCACTGAGCCAGTGGCCGGGCAGGGTCTTCCAGGAAGGGATTTGGAACCAGGAATGGGAGTTTCAAAAACTTGGGCTTGCTTTAACCAGTGACTGATGTCGGTCAGAAAGCACAGAATGGAGAAGGTAGGGCAGCGGGATGAGGCGAATTTCTCTGACAGAGAGCTAGCACAGACACAGGAGGCTGAGTGGCCTCCTGTGCTGTAAACTGTCCTAAGTGTGAGTGGTACTCTTTTTATAATGAATTCAGATAAGAAACAGCAATCGGGGTCTTTGGAGTGCCGTGTTGCAGTCTGCACAGTGGAATTTATTAGAGGTGACTAACAAAAATCATTTGGATTGTGTACCAGTTCTGCTGAATTCTGTCTCTCACGTGCGAGTAAAAATAGCCCAAGATATGCACTTCCAATTAGCAGCTTGAGTTCAAGTTACACTTGTAATCTCCATTGCACATTTATGGCTTGTGAAATGTACAAATACAATGGGCTTAAATTTCGACCTTCCAAGTCAAGAATGTAGCTGATACTACGACTTTTCACCAAATACTCTGTACCGGGTGATAGTCAGGAACATAGAGCTTGAACCTTGCTGAAAGGAGAGCCATCTTGCTGAAGCTTTTTGCTTTGAAGTCATCAGGACAAATACAACATCCTTTCAAACAGTCACAACAATTTGTACCGCACGGGAAGTAAAAGGTGCTACGTGACCTAGGCATTGCCACAGAGAAAAGAATGAGGAGCTATGGGCTGCCCAGAGGCACATGCCTGTATCTCCTGTAGTATAAGTTGTTGGCATTCTTGCGTTTGCCCTGATGAGTGCAAGAGCGACACGTCTCTCTTTCCAGCACATTGCATTGGAAGTTACAGAGTACAACAGGCTGTTTGGCCCATCCGCTCTCTGCAACCTCTTTACTTAGCTGCACTTGTAAATGCTTCCCACACCTCTGACCCATATTCCTCCGCTCCCTTTTATGTATATACTTGTACATGCCAACATTTATCACCATCCCATGTTTGAAATAGGGCAGGGGGTCTTTCCTGGCCTCAGCCACCATCACAGAAAGCAGTTAATCTGTTTGTTGTCACATCGCTTGGTTCTGGGAGCTTGCTGAGCTGAGATTGGCTGCCACATTTCTTAACGCTTCCGAACAGGAACTGTGCTCCAAAGGCGATCATTGGCCGTGACACGCTTTGGGGCATCTGGTAACTGTGCAAGGCACTATAAAAAATGCAACTTTTCCCTTCATTTCTGTTGCACAGTACTTGGCAAAAATCATTGCATCGAGCTCTGTAAGTAGCAGCCCAGGCCTAAGCAGAGGCTCCTTCACTTCTGTGATGTGAAGTGTTGCCTATTTTTGACCTGGTCTCCTGGAACACTCACCATCGTTGGTTTAGAACTCCCCATCACCTGCCATCACTTTGAGACCAAAGTGATGGTTATTGTGGTTTCAAGATCCACTCGGAAAGCCCCACAGTACTCCGGAACTTAGCAAATATTTTGGTCAAAGTTAATGACCAACAGTGCTTCAGTGCCCACAAATCTGACACCACCACACTGTGTGTTTGGAAAATTTAATGTAACCACACACTTTTCCGTAGATGACGGCCTATCGCGGAACAGAAGCACTTGGATTTATGTCGCAATCTTTCACCATCTCAGCGGCGGCACGGTGGCACACCGTTTAGCACTGCTGCCTCACAGCGCCAGGGACCCGGGTTCAATTCCACCCTCGGGCGACTGTCTGTGTGGAGTTTGCACATTCTCCCCATGCCTGCGTGGGTTCCCTCCGGGTGCTCCGGTTTCCTCCCACAGTCCGAAGGTGTGCAGGTTAGGTGGATTGGCCATGCTAAATTGCCTGTAGTGTTCAGGGGTGTGCAGGTTAGGTGGGTTGTAGGGGGGGATGGGTTTGGTGGGTGCTCTGAGGGTCGGTGTGGACTTGTTGGGCTGAAGGGCCTATTTCCACACTGTAGGAATTCTATGATTCTGAGATCTGAAAGCACCATGGCTCAGTGGGTAGTATTCTCACCGAAAGGCCAGGAGTTCCTCATCTCACTCCAGACATTTATGGAGAGTGGAGGCTGACACTCCCAGCGCAGTACGGAGGGAGCCCTACAAACCTGTCAGAAGTGGATTATTGGGACAAGATCTGTGCCTGCTGCTTCCATGGACATAAAAGGTCTGCGGAATCAAGGAAGAGTTCTCCCCCTGTACGTCCTGGCCAATATTTAGCCCACAGTCCATTGCAACTGAAACAGACTGCCCGCGACCTCCACCCCAGTGGGATCTTGCTGTGCGCTGCCACTTTTCTACACTATGACAGCGGCCACGCTCTGGGACGTCTGTGACTGGGTGGGTGTTGTGCTGCAATACCCTTCCCACACTGACATCTCTTGTCCACGGCCTGGGCTCCCGTACGTAAGGGACAGCACCCCCCCCCACCCCGTGAAGAGGCACTTCGCAGCTGGTGCGGGCTCAACGTGGAACTCAACCATTACAGACCATAACCTCCGCTCCCGTTTTTCTCCGCCAGCGGCCGCTTCTGTTCCTGATGTTTATCTCTCCTGGGAACGCCACTTTGGATTCTTTTCTGGTTTGTGGCTGTCTCCTCTGGCCTTGCATCATTGCGACCCCCTGCCCCTCCCGGGGTCCTGCTCGATGTTCATCGTTCAAGCCATGTACCTGAAGCAGACTATCTCATTGCCATCACATTGCACCAGTCTGCTGCTGCATTCCGTCAGTGATTACTTGTCAGAGACCACTGCGTCCAAACCGGTGAAGAGATCCCGGGACCGAAAATGTTGGCTCTGCTTCCCGCCCACAGACGCTGCCAGACCTGCTGGGTTTCTCCAGCCACTTTTGTTTTCCCCCTGTCTTGTTTTCAGGTCTCCAGCCGTTACTTTTATTTAAGAGCTTCAGGCTGCTCCGGTTGTCAGAAGGCACTAGAGAAATGCAGTTGGTCTTCTCCGCTCGGGCACCCGGTTTCGGGTCATTCTGGGGGATCCTCATTACCCTTCTTGTTCCCTCCCCTCCCTCTCTTTCTTCTTCCTTTCCCTCTCCCCCCCCCTCACTCCTTCTCTCCCCCCTCCCCCATCATTCCTTCTCTCCTCCCCCATCATTCCTTCTCTTCCCCCATCATCCCTTCTCTTCCCCTCATCATTCCTTCTCTCCCCCCATCATTCCTTTTCTCCCCCCCATCATTCCTTCTCCCCCCCCAATCATTCCTTCTCTCTCCCTCCCCATCATTCCTTCTCCCCCTCCCCATCATTCCTTCTCTCCCCCTTCCCC